AATGACTCTGACATCCTTTGCATTATCAGTGACCTTTGCATGCTTAAACCGCAGCACAAGCAGTGCCTCTGAAAAAAAAATGCATCTTGTTCTGGTCCCTTCCCCCTTCTTTAAGTCCGAGCCAAGAGGCCAAAGTTCAGACAGGATAATGAGCCTGTTAATCACAGAAGGGTTAATAATAGCAGAGCATCCATCACTAGGTTAGCTATTGTCTGGTTCAGAGCCCCATAAATTCCCAAAGGCTTCAGGGCATGTTTGATTCTGTGGACTCCTCAGGGGAGATTTTCTTCTAAAGGAATTGATCAACAGCCAGCAAAATATAATGCTTCGGAAAGGCCAGAGAAAAGAAGGTCAGCAAAAGATTGTGAGGGCATCAATGGCTTAAGTGTTATCCATCAACACAGCGCTCTGTGCATTGACAGAGCATGCTGAGTGTGCACAATGTCTTAGAATCAGAGACTCGTGGGGCTGGAAGGGTCCTCCAAGGCCATCGAGTCCAACCCCCGGCTCAACGCAGGAATCCAAGTCAAAGCAGATCTGACACGGGGGGGGGTTCCAGTGCTCTCTCGAATGCCCCCCATGCTGGAGTGCTCACCACCTCCCCATTGGTTCCATTGTCATACTGCTCTAACAGTTAGGAAGTTTTTCCTGATATTCAGTTGAGATCTGGCTTTGTTTAACTTGAGGCCATTCTTACTTGTTCTGCCCTCTGGGATGATCGAGAACAGATCCTGCCCCTCCTCTGGAGGACAGCCTTTCGAGGAACTGAAGAGTGTTCTCCTGTCTTCCACACAGTCCTCTTTTCTCACGGTTAAACAGGCCCAGTTCTCTCAGCCTTTCCTCCAAGGGTTTGGTTTCCAGGCCCCTGAGCATCCTGGTTACTCTCCTCCAAACGTGTTCGTTTGTTGGTATCCTTCTTACACAGTTTCTTATTCAAGAATAAACTGGTCCTTACACCAAAGGGAGCTTACTATCTGAAACAGACCCTGTGGAGACACAAGAGATGAGGGACAAGTAAGGGGTGCATGTATGGTGCATGTAGCGATGTATGGAAGTGAGAGCTGGACCATAAAGAAGGCTG